GTTTGGTACAAGTGTTTGATCTGATGTAGCTTGCTGGTTGCTGACACGTTGGGTATTATCTGCAAAATAGGTCCTTCAATTTCAGTTCAGACTAATTTCTGTGTCGTGTCATTTTAATGTGCTGTAATGCTAATTCTGGGTTGAATTGTCAAAAACAAAGTGTTTTCGGGTTAGGTGTCAAGAAGAAATGAATCTCCAGCCCATTCAGACAAGAAAATGAAAGAAACCCACAACAGTAAATTACTAAATTATCCGAACGAAATACATCAGGTGCGATTTTCGCGAGGCGAAAAAAAAAATTTTGAGAAAGGAAAAGAGAAAACCCCCCACAATGAATAAAAGGAGATACAAAAATAAAGAGAAAGAGAGGCCAAAATTCTAGACAGATTAAACAAATGCACAGGCCTGAACCATAAAACTAAAGTCGATACATTCACACTAAAAATAGGCTACTTTTGCTTCTTGATGAGGATGTTTGTTCGAAACTCACTATCGTCCCGAACAAAACTCCACCACAAGTAGGTAAGAGGGATTGTGGTAGCGTGCCAAAGAGCATGAGCATCTACAAGCCCCCAATATGGAGGGAAATCATATATCTCCAAGAGCATGGCAAAGGCCCCTCCAATCACGACCACCCACAACTTCCAACGGGACGGGTGATGAGTAAAACCGGCCCAAATTGCCCAAAGAGCAATCTGTAATATGCCCATTGTCACGCATACTATCATATTCCATCCTGCAGAATTCATATGTAATCTTGTTTTCAAAAAATTCTAGAATATATAATTGGAAGAAGTGCAGTATTTTATTTTTTTTCGATGTGATAAGCATATTGTATCTTTCAAACTTAAAAATACACCCTTAAAGTGTTAAATATCTATCTTTATTAAATATCTTTCAAGAAGTATTTGTGACGTTTGGAAAATAACTGAGATTTTTGGAATTAAATGAAACCTTAAGGGTAACATTTTTAGTTAACTTTCCGGAATACAAGTATAATAAGTGTAACATTAGTCCACATTTTCATGTTTGATTCTTCTTACTGGGTTCTGATTTATTTCTCAACAGTAAAAAAAAAATGATACTTTTAACTTTTAAGTGACCACACTTGACTACAAATGGCCACACTACTATTCTCTTACTAATATACAAGTCAAAGATGGTATACCAACAACTTGACGCAAGCAAAAGGTAATATGCAGAAGGCTTACCATAATCAAGTTGATAGAAATTCAAATACAAGATATGGGTAACCGTAAAAGCAAGTAATGGAGCAGCAATCATGACTCTTGCAGCCTCAAGTCTCACGTTGAAAGCTCGTATTACAGCAAGAATGAGGGAATATCCTAATAACGCCACCGCGGATGAGTAATCCAATCTCTCCGTTAAATCAACATCTCTGCATATGATTTCAAACCTTGAAATTCAGACGGAAACTAAACTACTAGAAAGATGCACTAGAACCGACGGGGAAAAATCAGAAGCTATTTCAGATGCTATTTATTACAAAGAAAGAAACTGATGAGTGATGAGCACATCAGAAGCTATTTATTATATTATGTACTCTTGCATTAAAGAATAATGGTTGGAGTGATTCAAACAACTTCTCAAAGACTCAAATGATATTTCAGACAAGCAGAAAAATAGAAGAGAAATATAAGCAAAAACCAGAGTCATGATACGCACCGACTGTGGAAAACAGCACTCCAGATCCACGCATTCATCGCAAAGACTGCATATATGTGCCACAGGCCAGTGTACTCATAATATGTATTCTTATTTTGCTTATAGGGAAGCTTGTAGTTTACAAGAATGAAAAAAGATACCCATCCATGAAAATGTACAGCAAGATTTAGTGCTGAGAAAGCCACTGAAACTGGTTCCTGGTCATAATTTAGAACAATCACGAACGATAAAACGAACAATTGCCAACATGATATTATTCGAAATAGTCAATCAAACACCTTCTTTTTTCTCATTTTATACCCGGATGGGTACCTACATTATATGATCGAAGACTATTAAAAAACACATTTTTTTCTCTTTTTATACCTGGATTCCGTATATGCGCTTAAATGGCCATTTCCCATGGTACTTTACAGGCTTGTAGCCGAGTTTCTCTCTTTCTTCTTCTCGAGAGAGCATACAGTGATAACGACAGTCATTGCGGCAGTCCCATTGTTTCCACTGTACATAAAGCGGCTCCTGCAGATACCATGGCCCATCAACCGGTGTCCCATCAGTTGAGAAATTACAGTGTTGAAAACATTTGTTGCCCACACATCCTGTCTTCTCACATTCTTCAAGACAAGCCCTAGGAATGCCATCAAATTTTAAAGAATTATAAGGGCGTGTTTTAATGAGCCGCATGAAGATACATCTGCTCTTAGAAGCCAAAACAGATGAATAATGAAATTTTGTTTCAACACTTGGCCAATTGTAAAAGCACAGCATATTTCCAAAATTTTAAGAACCAAAAATGGCATCCCGAGCTACAAAAGGATTGTGTCATTTGTTTGTTTTTTTAAGAACCCTGTTGTTCATGCAGTGTGTGAAAGACGATGGTGGAAAATATAAAGGATCAAATAGGGGCATATTGGGGGGTTGTTGATTTGAAGGGTTAGATGCAGAAGATGGAAAGACAATAATGGAGACCCCGGTTTTGGCTTTTCACCAAATCCATTCGAAAAGAGTATAGTTATCATTACTATGGTAAAAGGACACCCTATCTCTAGTGAAATCCTGATCATACAGTTGACAAATAGCTAACATAAGCCAACTCTGAATCAATTTCTAATCACTGCATGATGAGATGGATAAATTGACACTGACATGCAGAAAAACGAACAAGTCTTGACAGAAAGTACACTAGAGATTAAGCATAAAGTTCTTCGTGCTCAGTGGAAGAACTGAATATTGCATCAATTATTACTATGGACCACAAGTCAATGTTACATCACACAAGTCCAACTGTTACAGAATCAAGAAGGCTAATGAGGGTGAAATTAGCATAGGATGGCAGATTTTGTCTCCCTGTATTGAATCTTAACTCTTAAAAAAAGCTAAAGGTCACACTTTTAAAATGACCATCACAAATATACACATAAGATTCAACTTCAGCTGAAGTTTTCAATAGCTTTGAGGTCAAAGCAGGTTCTATTTACTCAAGTTTCAGCTACTCAGAACCTTATGTCCATACTCCCTAAATCTGCATCTGCAAACAGCCATCTTACTTCAACACAAACTAATTTCTCACCTCGAAAACCAAGATTTAAGTAAACGATCATGGATTCACAGAAAATATTACAGATACGGCAGCCCCTAAACTACAGCATATTATATTTTCTCCGGCTACTTGCACATATGACATATGGCTAGACATCTTACGCATGAGAACAACAAGCCATATACAACAAGGTTCAGAGAAGAAAAAAAAGCAGCACTTGCACCCCACTTTTACCTAACCCTTTCGCTTTTCAACATACCCCAATTAATCAGTATTTCAATTGACGGAACAATAAAAGTTTCAACTACTGCCACAACAAATTTTCCCAACAGATACCCTAACTACCTAAGATACAAGCTTACTTGTACATCGGATCAGCATCGCCAGGGCTCCCTTCAAGAAATCCGGCAAAGCATGAGAGCCCCACCAGAACAAAAACGAAAGGGTGCCGTGTCATCAGATTTGACTTTACACAACAGCGCAAATCAAGCAAGAAAATCTCAAAAAATGCTGGATGGGTTGCGAGCTCAAACTTTTCTACCTACGACCAAGCAACGGTATGATTAGACATGTCGGGCTGGAGGCTGACCCGCAACCCGCCAAAACCCGCTGTTTTACGGGGCAAGTTGGGCCTGTAAAAAGACAGCCCGACCAAACCCGTCATGGGCCGCGGGCTAGGCGGGCTGGCCCACGGAATATTAAAAAAAAAAATAAAAAACTGGGGCTGGAATTTTTTTAAATTCCATCAAGCATCAACAAGTCCAACCATTAAATTGGATTTTTTTTAAAAAAAATATTAAGTTATTAACATTAAAATCAAACAGTACGGACTCAAATGTCCATTAACAGCACTAAAAAAGTGTATAATCAGCACCCAAAATACATCAGTATATTCCCAGAATTGAGGTTGCTTGAGAAAGAATTTCGAGATAGTTCATCGACGAAGATAAAAGATTCACCATTATATACCAAGAATGACAAAAATCTACTTTTTAAAAAAACAAAATCACAAGGAAATCAATTAAGAATTACCGGAATGTATTGCCGGAATGAAGCCGCCTCGCCGCTCTCCGAGTCTCTCTCTGCGCCGCTCGCCGCTCGCCAGGTCTGCCTCTCTTTCTGTCGTCGTCTCGCGTGCTATCGCCTGTTGCCACCGCTAGGGTTTGACACTTGAAGATGGGTCTTTCTGCCTTAGCTGCATTCGTGGTTCTCTGTACTTCTGAATTAAGAAAATTGCGATTTCGAGTTTAGATATGCGTTTTTTGAGGTTGCGTTTTTACTTTTTACAAATTGAAATTTAGAATCGTTTATATTTTTTTTAATTGGTGGGCTGGCGCGTGGCCCGCCCCGCCAGAACCTGCGGCCCAGCCCGTTAAGGCCGTCTTTGGCGGGCCTTTCAAATAACTGCCCAACCCGCCGCTATCTATTATATAATTAACATAGAAAAATACTTTAGTTATATCTGCAAAATGCAAAAGGTGTTATTTATTTTATTTTTCTTACATCGCCTATATATATAATATATAATTCTTGATTGCGCTGAGCCTACGTGGCTGCTTCTGGTGCTTCAGAATCCTACTTGGCGAAGAATCATGCTTCATAATTAGGTTCGGACAAATAATATTGATATATTAATAATTAATATCTAGGTTCGAACATTCTATAAATATTATTTAGCTAACTTAGATATTTTAATATCACTTGTACTAATATAACCCTTTAATTCTTTGTAATTTTACATAGTGAGACACTAAGTGACTAATATATCCCTGACTTTTAATTTGTTTCCTTCAATTAATTATTGAATTATAAATATATTTTAAAAGTTGATAACTTTTGTATTTCTTATCGGTTTTACATATATAATATATCAAATTAATCATCTTTTCATGATCTTCGATTTGACATTCATATTGTATATATAAAATAAATAAATAATATTTACCTTTATAATAATAAAAAATAATATTTATTAAATTTTATTAGAAAAATAAAATTACTTCTCAGTTGATATATTTTTGTTTAATGTAGTTATATGTTGTAAGTTAAAAAAATTATTATAATATAACACAAGTAAATCACACAAATAAAAAGTGTCATACTAAATATATAATAATATATATTTTTATAAAAGTTATTTAAATTTTCAACTACTTTTTCTCAACAATTTTAGATTTTAAAGAAAAAATTAGCAAGCACTCGTGTAATACACGGGCGTTGTACTAGTTTTTAGTGTTTTATAATAATAGATAACATAGTATCAAATTCCTCACTGTTGTTATAATTATTATTATTATTATTTGAAAATCATTATTGCCGAGAACCCCCAGAGTTTGGAAACTGATATGGCGAGTTGGTTTTACATATATAATATATCAAATTAATCATCTTTTGATGATCTTCGATTTGACATCCATATTGTAAATATTGAAATAAATAAATTATATTTATATTTATAATAATAATAAATAATTATATTTATTAAAATTCATTAGAAAAATAAATTATTTCTCAATTGATATATTTATGTTTAATGTAGTTATATGTTGTAAGTTAAAAAAATTATTATAATATAACACAGGTAAGTCTCACAAATAAAAAGTGTCATACTAAATATATAATAATATATATGTTTTATAAAAGGTATTTAAATTTTTAAATATTTTTTCTCATTAATTTTAGATTTTAAGAAAAAAATTAGCAAGCACCCGTGTAATACACATGAGTTGTACTAGTTATCAATATAATTAAATAATATCAACCAATCATTCTTACACATCACATCAACTTTAACGAATAGGGGTTAGCGCAGTGGCGCGTACCTTCGCTCGGCGTGTACCATGTCCCGAGTTCGAGTCACCCGAGGGGAATTGGAGAACCAATATTGATCCCCCTTTAAGAAAAAAAAACACATCACATCAACTTTAATTCACTATTCACCAACTCACATAATTTTAACTAACCATCACCTCCAATCATCATCTCCTACTTTTATATAATAATAGATAACATAGTATCAAATTCCTCATTGTTGTTATAATTATTATTATTATTATTATTTGAAAATCATTATTGCCGAGAACCCCCAGAGTTTGGAAACTGATATGGCGAGTTGACCATCGGTACGCGGTATTACCGGTCGAACCGGTAATATCGGTGGTATTATCGGATTAGCATATTGATGTAGCGAAAGCGTGAACGAATGGGAAGATATAAGGAGATACTATCTCCAGAACACGAGATACTCTCCCAAAAGAAAAACACGATCAATTATTTTCATTCATAAAAAATTCAACTCCCTAACAAATCACAACTGCCCATTTAAATAAAGTTTTAATCCTAAACTTAGCTTATTCCCTAAGCTAACTATTATTTAATAAATATACTAATGATACTAATAATAATAATAATAATAATAATAATAATTTTAATCATATGTAATCTCCATCATTCTCTCCTGGTGGAGCAGGATTCGGCCTCGAATCCGACCCGTTCTCGTAGGAGAAGTGTGACCCGTTCCGTCCTCGATCGAACACGAAGCTTGAAGAACGCCCAACAACACCGAACGTAAACAGAATCTCGATCAAGGACAAAACTGCTGTAAAGGCACATGTACTCGTCACCATGCGCAAATCCCGCAAAATTGAATGAACACTAAATACACCACTTCGTTTGCCGTGCTCAAATCCATAACAACGGTCAAGCATCCCGTTGTCGGGAGACTTCGCGAAAACCAATCGGAAAATGGTCCACCAATTATTGGGCATCGGCCTCGGCTCCGAAAAACCATCTTTGGCAAAAATTCCCAAAAAATCGGGTGTGAATGATGGCTTCCCATTCGAAGACGTAATCATTGCAACATCCCATGCGGGACCCATATTACTGCAAAAATATGCCTTCGCCACCGGAGGCTCCGTATAAAAAATGGGCGGACCTTCGTAAATTGGGTCGTCATCGTGATCTTTGTCAAAGTCAGGAAAGTCAGCACGAAATGGGCCGACCTTGTGACCAAATTCGCTGCCAAAATTACTACCAAAATAGCTGCCGAGATCACTCTGTACAAGCCCAAGTTTCGCATCTACTTTACAAGCCCATAATCATTAATTTCAAATACAAAGCATGTAATTTTGCCACATAGGATTCCGAAGCACCAGAAACAGCCACGTAGGCTCAGCGCGTTCTATATTAATATATAGGGGGACTAGTACAACACCCGTGTATTACACGGGTGCTTGTTAAAAAATTATTCTTAAATTTTAAAATTAATGATAAAATATATTAAATTTAGTTTACTTTTTTACAAAAAATATATTACTATATATTTTAGAATGATATGTATTACTTATGACTTACATGTGTTATATTATATTAGTTTTTATAACTTATATCATATAACTACTTGAAATATAAATATATTAGTTGATGAATAATTTTATTTTTCTAATTAATATTAAAAATAATTTTTTTAGTATTGATATAAAGATAAATATAAATTATTTTTTTCATACATACAATATGGATGTTAAATCGAAGCTCATCAAAAGAAGATTAATTTGATATATTACATATGTAAAACTGATAAAAAAACAAAAGTTATTAACTTTTAAAATATATATACAATTCAATAGTTATAATAAGGAATGATATTAAAATACAATTAATACATGTAACATGACCATAAATAATCAACATATTTATGGTATTCCAAACCTAATTATTTTTTGTTTGGAATTAAATTAAAATTTACCCAAACCTAATAACGAAGCATGTAATTTTGCCACATATGATTCCGAAGCACCAGAAACAGTCACGTAGGCTCAGCGCGTTCTGTATTTATATATAGGGGGAGGGGGATAGGGGGAGGGGGATTCTTTTTTTATTATTATTATTTAATTTTGCATGTACAATACTTTTGATCAATTTGGCGCCACATATTATAATTACCTTCATAATTAATTCACACCAACTTTCCATCGCAACTTGATCTTGTTTTATGTCGAAACCCATGCTTTACAACCTGTTTTTTGACTATGAAAAGACCCACCAACTTGATCGATGATATCAATAAGTATCAACCCCGACCCGACCCTAATTATTTGTTCTTTCATGCAACTTGGCAATAAACATCAAACCGTACGTTAACTGCTGCTTGCCCAAAACAAAGATAACGTGAGGATGATAATAAATATTATTGCAAATCATAATTAAGGGGAATAAATTAAAATATTATGCTATCTCATCTACAGATTCCGAGTAAGATTTTTAGTGTATTTATAATAATAAATTCGGGACATGTTCGTAGATCATTAGTTGTGTCATGTTTGTACGATATAATATTGTATATTTATTTACCATATATTAATTAGTTGATTCTGTAATGAACAATTATATTTATGTTCCTCTTTACGAAAAATTCTATGGAGTCGTCGGATGGTTTTCTTATAGAGTCATTGATCA